TAAATGGAATGAAACGATCCCAAACAGTGGAGCGATGTTCTGGGTCAGGGAGTGGTACCGCTCAAGAGCCTCTGACAGGTTATTACTGCTGTCTGGCTAGAGCTCAGTCTGATATAAATATGTATATATATATACACTAGACCAATTTAATATATAATTACTAAAAAACAAAATTGAAATACACTTAATAAGGAAAACGAGATTCCAACAGAAACAAATACCTAAAAAAAATAATCACAAATATGTATGATTTATTTTTCCGTTAAGGATAATTCACTAAAGGATCTTTTAATTTTTTTTAAAAGATGAAATCGCTTACATGCGGTTAATTAATGCAGTTTTCAATCCTGAAGTCCATCACTGCATGTCCATTTGATCTGACGAATCATGTACTTCATTTTTTAAAACATATATTTTATAATTAGTATTGTAGATATTATAAGGCTGATAAAGGCGGAAAAATATCTACAAATTCTGTAACCAGATAGGAGAAAGTGTATTTCGAAGTTTTCCTAAAAATATCTTTAGTGCTTCATGAGTAAAACATATCGTCAGTTATTATAAAAGTACGTTAAAGTTCAATTCCACCAATAATGTACTTGTTTTTGCAATGGACTTTTTGCAATGAACTGACGATAGGAATCTAGCAGGAGGAACATTAAAATCTTATCGTTTATACAAGAACCAGATATAATATTCAAAGAGAATGATGTAATAATGACAAATGCCCATGAAAAATTATAAAACAAATATCAATTAAAAAAAAATTATTCAAGTTATACTTGAATATGGAATGTGTAGCTATTCAACTTATTTTAAGAACAACAAACAAAAATAAAAACATAGAAATGAAAAAGAATAAATGCCAATGGAAACCATAGTGTTTAGGTGTGTTGGAATTAATTTTGTGACGGTATCGGATGCATTCGATTCCGGCATTCAATGGTTTTGTAACACTTAATTTTATTATTTGAAGTACAAAAAGGGCTTTACGTGTAAAGATGTGATAAATCGATAGCAACTAACCATTAGTTCAATCAAAATTTTATATAATTATTTTTTAACACTTAGTGCCTCCAAATACAGTATCGATCGTTAAAATTGTCTAACCTTATCGAAGGCTAATCGTTATCTATGTGGCCCTATCAGCAGATATTCCATAACTAATCTGAAATAACCTAATGTTAAATCCTACTGTTAAAATTTAAAAAAATCCAAAAGCAGATTTAAATTTTACGGAGGTTTACTTTAATAACTTTCTTATTCCCAAATCTGAACAAGTGCGTGCAAGAGACTTTACCTTGACAAAATGCTGACATGGAGAAACCATATAACACTTAACAGAAGACAACTGAGCAAGCTGTATGGGATATTATCCAGCTTACTTGATTGACTTATTAAACTAACCCTAACTAACAAACCTATCATCTACAAATTACTTACAAAACTTTGATTGACTTACAGAGTGGAGCTATAGCCCCTGCAAAAATATTTTCAAAATACAAAATTTTCAATCAAAAGTTTTGAGAAACGTAACAGACAAATCTTGCTACATAACGACTAAGAAATCTAACGCGTTTAGATACTGCAACACAATACTATCAAAACTTTCAATACAGAATAACTTATAAAACAAACCTATTAGTTCCTGAACGAGCCCGTACATCCAACTTCGATAACTCTTAAGGTGGTGGCCGAGAGATTTGCTAACATGACCAGGAAATGTATACAGATTTTCTAATTGCAAAACTTTACAGACGACAAATTTCAATCCTGCCAAATTTATGTATTTGTTTAAATAAAAAGATTAAAACGTGATTTTGAAATGAATTTTCGATTTTCAACAATTGTGAGAAATGCTCGACTCGCAAAGTTTAAAATGATTAAAATTCCATTTTTTTCTCATTTTTATGGAAGAATTTTTAAGAAGAAGAATATTATCAAAACGTGTTTAATAAAAGGTCAGTAATTATGTAATTAAATTTTCGTTGGATTTTTATAGTATCTAAAACATACGAATGCACTTCAGGAAACACGCTTCCTAAAGGGGGTAATGCAATGAACCATAACAATTGAGTTAGATTGAAAGGCAATTGAAACCCTGGCAACAAAGCATGATCCATTTGCTTCATGCCATTGCTATCAAGTATGTCGAAATATTCGTTTTTACTATATAATCAGTTTGGGAGGCAGAATAGTTTATAAATCATTATCTGTCTAGAGTTCAACGTGTGTAAAAACAATTCTATGTTAAGAAAGTAATTAACTTTGTATTTTGATAAATTTGATAAATAATAAACATATTGTAGAAAATAATATTGCCGAATAAAAAATATGGTGAGGTGCCTAATGTCAAACTTTCGATTTTTAACCTGAGTTAGAAAGTGTAACTAATAGTCGATTTTACAGCAAAGGACCCCGAACAACAATCGATTCAATCTTTATATGAAAACAGTGAATGAGAAAGACGTCAATTATTTTAACAGATCAGGAAATATCCCCTAAATTTGGAATGTTCCTAACGCCTATATTTGGCGATGCGCCCTGTTCCGGATGTAACTAATTCATCGACGTTCCGGTCTTTTGAAAATGCATCCGGTATTTAATTGTAAATTTGTACGCAGTTTTGCCATACAACGGAGACACGTGTAGCTAGAACTATACTTAGGTTTTCTACGAAATAATAGAATTCTGGCGCCATTTGAAACACTCCAATAATTTAATTTTTAAATACCTATGTTTAATTTTCTAGAATGAAGAAATATTCATTTAGAAAACATTGCAAGGAACAGCGTACAACTGAATACAACTAAATGCTCAATACAGCAGGTCTTAACTCTAGTGAATGGCGAAACTGAAATATAACGTTTTTCTTAATAATTTGAACATAATTAATTTAATTCTTAACAAAATAACAACATCTGCAAAAATAAACAATATCTGATAATCCATCACGATTAACTGAATGCCGACCAAACCAATCAGCGACCGATATTTTTTTTTTAAATCCAATTATTTGAAATTAACAAAACTACGATGCAAAATACTTCCAAGAAAATTACATAGGATATTCTTAGCCTTTCTAAATAGAACATAATAGAATTGTTCATTAGAAATACTGTGCAACAGTAAAGAAGGATATTTAAATTAATTGATGAAATTATTTTATTAATGTTTTATAAAAGTTTTGCAATGAAGTTGGCAATTTTTGAGACACTAGGCTGTGTATAAATAGTATAATAATCAATGTGATGTTTAAGACGAGGGTTTAATCTAACAATAGACATTTTAAAATATTATTATTGAAAAAATCAGGTTATATAATTTATATAATAAATATTTTTTTAAAAATCAATAATTTTATTTAAAAGAAATAGCTTTATGGCATTAGAAATAAATGAGATAAGAATTATATAGAAGTAAATAAATATTTCAGGGGGCTGCCTGTTCCTTTCCCCCCTCTCCAATTCCTACCAAAAAAAAATCACTTGGAAAAGAAATATTATGTACCCTCCCCTCCCCCCCCAAAAACACAAGTTATAATTAATATATAATAAACTTATAATCAGCCACATAATTTAAACTTGATAATTAAAAAGTGAGAGCACTTCAAAACATGCATGCTGCCCTTCAGAAGTACCCAGAAGAGGGATTCATGGAGCAAATTGCTCCATCAAAATTTATGAGGGGGCACATTTCGACAAGGTTATGAATTTTCAAAATTAAAAGCTTCAAATGAAAAGACAAGTTGAAGCATGGAACAGACCGCAAGATGTGTAATTATATATGATCTAAGAATATTTAAATTCGGCTTTCGTTTGCACTCTTTTTAAAAAGCAGAGAGCAATAAAATATCTTGGAAGGGGTGGGAGAAGATTTATGCGCCATCGGCCTTTCGCGGGGGGGGGGGGGAGGATGGACACCCCTGCTCCCATTCAAGAAAATTTCCTTATTGTATAAAGACGGTGTTATAATATTTGTTTTAAAAATCTATATAAATACACAAATAAGCAATAGTTATAAATGAATTAACAATAATAATAATCCATTACAGAGTATAGATGGGATCAATGATTTGTACAACAATGGTGAAGGAGGTTTGTCAACACAATCATATTTATATTATCGACCGTTTCGGTATAGGACTAATGCGCTTGTAAAACTCGTTATTGTTGTAGTACAATATCGGATAAAAATTAAAAAAAATAATGACTATAAATACATCTATTAAAATGTTAGTTATAACATTTAATCCCTGGAAAATTAAATCTTTAAATAACAGCTACTTTTTTTAGAGTGGATGGATAAAACAGTGGAGTAAAGAAATATCTAAAGGGACTTTACGCGATCTTTAAGAAGATCTTAAAGAAATCCTGTTATTTAAAGGCTAGTTTAAAGAGACTTGGAGTACCACCTGGTCATAAAGGGAAGGAAGTAAAGCAAAGGGTGTTTTGCGGCGTATGTTTGTAACCTTATGTCTGAAACCTCCGGTAACAGTTTACATGGACATTAATATGAGGGCTGCTAATGTTTGCTATGGAACGGAAATAACTGAGTACTATCCAATTTAAACAATAATAAACTGTACCGATATCGATTTATATAATTAACATGCTAACAAAATGTAAAAAAATCATTTTAAATAAATAAATTAAAGTTAAGTTTAATAAAATAAATAGAAACACCACGTACTGTATGAAAATAATTTAAAAATTGTCCAATAAATCAAAATAAAATTATAGGTCATTTTAAAATTAATTTAATTAGGTAAATTTAAAATTAATGCTAAGAATAAATAAGGATGTATATTACTTCTAATTAACCATTGTTTTTGTTTTAAATGAAGTAATTTATAGCAATAATGTTATATGTTACATAATTCATCCGTTTGGATTTACATATCCAAAATTTTTCTTCAAACTAATTTATTATATGAACCAGTACATGGTATTCTGGATGTTAAATAAGATAAATATCAATTTATATTTGTGTAAGCTCACCTTGACATGCCGCAAGAGATAGTCTATGAGGACCTTCTTCTTGGTGCACTTCTCTTCCTCGTGACATATCCCGATGTTGAGCCCCATCACAATTGTCTTCATGAGACCTCCTTCCCATGCATCCCACATCCATTTAGGGGTATAACATAACATGGCCTGGAAGAACAGGACGAAACAGACCCACTGGTAGTAGGTGTAGTACTTCTTGGCATCTTCGTCGCCGTAGTCATTGCCGACACCCGGATGGGCGACTTCGACGCCGACGGTCCTCCTGAAGGCGTCCGGCATGGTGAAGGTGCTGGTGATCCAGCAGAAGGTGTTGATCGGATGGGCTGGCAGACCCGATACGATACACTGGATGGGGTTTCCGACATACTGCGTCGCGGTTACGATTAAGGAACATGCAAGGAGCAGCGCGGTGGTGAAGAGGTTGTGGAGCCTGAAGACGGCATTGTCCGTGACGATCGGCTGCCACTTGAGGTAGTCCTTCAACCCGCCTAGGAGACGTATCATCCTGACTCGTGCCTTGCTAGGGACAAACTGCCAGCCGCGGCAGCCCCTCCACCTCCCCACTGCTCCTACCCCCTCCCCCCTCCCGGCCGTCCTCCCTTCTGCCAGCCCTCTTCTAATTAGCCCTGCAATTAAATGTCTGCTTTTTAAAGAATTCTTTTCCACCAGCCATAAAAAAAAGGAATCTCTTGATTTCTTTAAATAAAAAATATGTTGCTGTGCGTTTCCCAACACACCATATTCAGTAGAAATTGATTTTTTAAATTGTTAATAAACATTGAGATTTTTACTTTAATTATATATACAAAGTTACAATTATCATAAAATATGATGAATCCACGCACGATAAATTTTTGACAAATAAAATAGTTTAAATAAAATAACTAGTCTTTATCATTACAAAATGGTGAAGAGCACTGGCGAATCTTAGGGTTCTTTTAGCTGAATACCCCCAAGTGGAAAAATATATTTTATTTTCATTGTTTTTTATTTGTTTATGTACATTATATTTAATTCTTTTATTGTTTATATGTATCCATTTTTCGAAGATACTGACGAGGGGTTGCAACTTTTTTTCTTTTTCTTTCAGAATTGTCGTTGTTAAATAAAAATAAAAACTTCTCCTAAATTAAATCCTCAATCCACTACTTCTTAAAACCATATATTCTATTTCAAAATTATTATAATAGTTTGTGTGTGTAAATGATTCGCAACTTCCTATTGCAACTTTTAAAAATATTTTTTTATTATTTAACGTTATTTATAGTATTGAATATAATGCGCAATGAATCAAATAATTATTAACAAACAAAAAATCCAGATAGGTAAATTTTTTTAAATTTATTTATTTAGACATATAACAATCTGTTTCGTGGACAATAATTATAGTGATATATGAACACATTCACACCATATATGTAAATTTAGGGGAAAAAACGTAAGTCAATAAAAATTTTAAATAAATTTTAACAACTATATTTAATTTTATTCAATATTCTAACTCGGACGTTTTGATTGATTTATTGGTGGATGCTGAAGATCTTACCCTTTAATACGGGGTCTGGCGCCTGGAAGACTTGAAGGATGTCATAAAAGATTTCCATTTCCAAGAGACAGGTCAGGAGCGGTGCCCTTCTTCATTTGCAACCCGGAGTGACAAGAATATTTTAGCAATTACCTGCCGGGGTGACCTGAATGAGCGGTCAGGTAAGGTGGTGCCAAGCAGGTCACCTTTCGCGCTAGAATCCATCGGTTTGCAAGGAGTGTTGAATATGCATAGGTTCAACTTTTAGCTAAAAATTTAATTATTTATATCGTCACAATAATTACCGTTCTATGGATTCTAATATTTTGGTAGGCCCTATCTTGCTGATAACAATTTTTGATAGCGTTATCGATGCGATAGGACTAGATACTGTTGTACCCTAGGTGTTATGAAAAAAAAAAAATATTTCAGGTGCTGTACAGGATTTCCTTAAATAAAGTCATTTCCTCATTTTTCAACTCGTTCAAGTCTTCGATAGGATGATGTATATTGTTCCATTTGTGGAAAATAATATGTGTATCTGTATTTTATTCAACATTATTGAAAGAGAAATAATTATTGTTGTAACTAATCCTGTTATAATCTTATGTTTTAAAACGAAGTTTGCCTGAAGACAAATATAGCTGGTCTGATGTTTTAATTATAAGAAAGCAGTGGCGAACCTAGACTGTTAGGAAAGTGGTACGGATTTATTTTGAGTAAGGCCAAAAATACTTTCTTTTTTTTTTTAACTAAAAACTATATAGCTATATGTAAATGCGTAATAACGTTTTTACTTGATTAAGACGTGTATGTAATGTTTTTTACAATGAAGTTATTCGATTATTAAAGGAAAAAAAATGGGGTCTATCGCCTTCCTCCACTCATCCGCGTAGATACGCATTAAAGAACTATAATATAAAATACAATAAATAATTTATAATTTTTTTTATTATTTCATATCAACTGAACAATAATCATAAAACAAATACAAATATTGAGACAGAACCCAAATACGATTTTAAGACTTATAAAATTTTTAAAAATGAACTACATATACAATCAATTATAATGAACCAAAGAGACTACAGTGTGAATGACCCCAGTGGTCGAAGTAAATAAATAATAAACAATAATAATGTTCATAAATTTAATATTTTAAAAGGATTTTCCCATTTTAATGTGATAAATATAAATAGGTATATTCCAATCATTTTAGAACACGTTCTACATATTTTTTTTATTATACCACAGAGAACTTAATTATTAAATAACTTTGTATGAAATGATGACTTTGTTTTTTATTAAAAAAATAATTAGTTGTTTAAAATCTTTAAACAAATTTAATACATAATCAACTGAGTTTTTATTTTATTAACGTTCACAATTTTGTCAATAGAATAATTTTAAGAAACATTCGAACAGAAAGTTATTAGGAAAATTTAAAGTAATTTTCATATATTTTATTTATTATATAATGTATATACGTTTTATATATACACAGTAATATATATGTATGTAATGATAATTACTTGCGGAAAAAAGAAAGAAACTAACCGCCTACATAAAATGGTGTTTAAGTTATTCTTGATGTCCTATTAAAAATTTAATTACACGAGCAATAATACTTTTTGAGATATTTTTTTTAGTTTTTTATAAGACATTTTTATATTTAGTAGCTGTGAGGATTATAGTTTAAAATATCTTGCGTGTCCACTCACACATCTTTCCAACCTATTTCAGAAAAGGTTTTATATCTTTACATATGTTCATGAAGAAACAAAGAAGAATTAAACTATATTTATTTTCCTGAAAATTGGTCAAAGAAAAGATTTGAGTACGATTTATTTGATAAACTAAAGCAATGTAAACCGGCTTAACGAAGATCAGTATAAACATTTCAATACCCTCTAATATTTCTGATCAAAAACTTTTTGCCATAGCTTAATTTTGTGAAACAATAATTTCTGTTAAAAGTAGAAGAAATAATGATGCGGGCAACAAATTTTGTTACTTTCACTTAGTCATATTTTTTCTCTCATTCACCCCTTTCTGACACCAGGATATGAACCCGTAATCTTACATTGGAAATTGAATAGCTCTAACTTTGTTAATAGTTGTCCAAAACGAACGATTTTGATATGACTTTGTTGGTAATTTAATTACCTTTCAAAAGTTTTATTATAATATATACTTAGGGAGTTAGGCCCCATAACACTTTTCTCTTCTTTATAACTTTTTTTCCTGAATTTTTTCGAGAATTTAGTCTATACACAAAAATTGAAAGGACAATTATTAGAACATTATAAGAAAGTTTCATCAAAATCGTTAGAGCTGTTTTCGCGCTACGATCTATAGAAAAACATGTTTTTCATTTATTGCGCGCAAGCAATTGGGCATGGAGCACCGAATTTATGTCACAGGCATCAGTAGTCGAAACCCTATACAATAAAAAAAGAAGCAAAAAAATCGGTTCAGTAGTTCCCGAGAAAATCTTGGCACAGCTAGACAGACAGACAGACCAATGGCTAAAAATGTGTTTTTTGTACTCAGGGGGCTCTGAAACTAATAGATTCGTCGAAAACCGCATATCGGAAATTTGACAAGATTGCAATACTTTCTTTACCTAGTATAGGTAGGAAAGTAAAAATATAAGGTATCTTGATTATTTAAGTATTTAGCTTAGATCACTCACAGCAACAAACATCGACCAATGAAAACAACAGAATTTCATTTTTGAGAGGGCCTCAGCATGAAACCCTTCAAGAATTATATGTAATACTGATACGGTTCTTTATGTTTAATAGAAAATTTTGAAATTAGAATAGAGTCCCGAAATGCCAACTAATAAAGACAAACGTTTATAATTTTTAAAAAAGTTGTGGGTTTTTGAGACATAGCTTCAATTTAATCCAAATCTAATGATTTATTATCAAGATTCAACTTAGATATTCTTAAATAAATTCACCAAAAACAGTTTGAGTTGAACTTATTAAACAAAAATGACTTTTTCTCAACTTTACGAAAATGATGTCCGTCTTTGATATGTGGCCACTCATATGGTTATATTGGAATATATCATTTTGATATCTACAAAGAAAAAATAATTATAATTTTTTTTTGCTCCAAAAATATTTCGCTGGAAATTTGGTGCCCAAAATAAATTCTGCAGCCGAGAGTTAGTCCTCACTTTCTTTTGCCTCCATAGTTGTAACCTTGAAATAAATATACAAATGCAGATAGGAACTCTAACGATAAAGGAAGAAATATTTCTTGTTTTACTCTCATTGTGGAAAACGAATCCTTAAGGTAACCAAGTAGGTATTTACGACCTAGCTTTAGACTGCTCTAACGGTACAGCAATAAGTCACGGGCTGGAAACAATATCTCTGCAAGAAAACCATCAGCTGGAGACAGCATGTTCTTATCCCCAAAACTTATTGTTGGTCGAGTGGATTAGAGTAAGAAAATTCTTAAGTAAGTAAGAACTGTAAAGCTGCAGTACAATTGTCTACCTCAGCTCAAAAATGTTCAGGGTTTAAAGTTGTCTATTGCCAATGATTCAAAATCAATACTTATCAGTAAATTTTACTAACTATTAAATACAGAGTAAAATTTACTGATAAGTGTTGATTTTTTTGAATCTTTGGCAATAGACAACTTTAAACCCTGAACATTTTTGAGCTGAGCTGGATAATTGTCTACCACAGCTCAAAAATGTTCATAGTTTAAAGTTGTCTATTGGTAATGATTCAAAATCAACACTTATCAGTAAATTTTACTAGCTATTAAATACAGAGTAAATTTAATAGCTATTTACTATATGAATGAATACTATAAGTTAAAGTTGTTATCATGATTAGTTTAGTTTATTTTGTTTATATACATTTACTTTTACTATTATTGTTTTTCTGTGTTATTTATTTTTATTTATTGTAAATCGAGTGTGAATGTGCTCTCTGAACACTATTATTAATATCCTTAACTGTGACAGATTGTAATATTTCTTAATATTTTTTATTATTATTATTAATATTTATGAAATTTACAACTGTACATTTAATATACATTCAGAAAATTTGATACAGATAAATACATGACATGACAAGGCTTGTGAAGAATCTACCCATTGGGAGCACTTTAATACAGTTTCTAAATCAGGAGATCACGAGGCCATCTTCTTTTCAGACGCCTAGGAAGGTTATCAGAGATGGAGGAGGAAGCAATTTTAGAAACGAGAGGATTGGAATTGTTCTGAAATGTATTATGGAAGGATGGGTATCTGGATTGGACCAAATCGGAAACATATGGAACATTCAGATCACTATGGATTATTTTATTTGTGACAAAGTGAGGAGCATTCAGGATTTTACGAAGGATTTTGGCTTGTAAAGATTGGATACGAGAGGCATTCGATGGTTTAGGGGAGCCCCAAAGCTCAACTCCGTAAGTCCAAATAGGTCTTATTATGGTCATGTATATGAGTCTTTTGTAATTAATTGAAAGGTTAGAGCGTTTGTCTAGTAAGTGCTGAAACGTCGAGCGGTTTCTTGTCGTTTCAGTCTGGTATGAGGATTTCAAGTTAGACGTTTGTCCAGGTGGAGTCTTAGGTATCGGATTTGTTCAACAGGCTTAAGTGGGGTATTATTAAAGGATACTGTTGGACAGGAAGTCATAGGTTTACGATCTTAATAAATAAGTTCTAAGTTAAAAAAATAAATAAATAAAAAATAATAGTAGCTATTAGGTATACTCTGGTGAAATTTTAATTACATATAATAATACAAATTCGATATAGACTTTTGTCATTGTATATAAAGATAAGATCCATTTATAAAAGAAAGATAAAATCCATTTACTGTTATTTCAAAATTAACAATATCTACAAAGCTGATTTTTTAATCTTTAGTTCCACTTGTGCTGTAGATTTGCAAGATGTCAGAGGTTAAGGAAAAATTCATACTCCGGCAATTAATACATATATTTTAAACCGGCAAATGCAAACAGAAACTGATCTAACTCCATACAAAACTCTGTATGACTTTTTGCATGAAGTCGGTTATTTCTTAAAGCTGTTAAATCAAGGTCAACAGACAAATAATGAAACAGATTACATAAGCCAGTAAATCAGGATGCAGAAATCGTTATTAGGAGATCGTTATTCTAAAGTTTTCGATGTTCTTATCTTCAAAGGGAATTAAACACTATACTACTACTATAATATA